GCCCACGGGCCGCGGCGGCTCCGCCCCCGACCGCAACCGCTCGGCGCCGCGCCGCTCCGCCGCCGGCCCGCGCCGCAACGCCTGCCTCTCCGTCAAGCCCTACCTCAACTTCCTGCACGAGCTGCGCCACCAGCTTCGGGACATCCAGGAGATACAAGTGATTCACCAGGTAGGGTGGCGGGAAGGCGCAGACGGGACGCTCCGTTGTAGTGAAGTGCAAAACAAGTGTGTCTGGTGGATGGAGGGAGTTGGCAATTTTGGTCAATTGTCCGTCCGGTGCCCCAGACCTATGTCTTGTTCATTCCCTCGCTTGGGGATAAGAGAGACATGTGGCGAACTTGACGTACTTCTTTCTCTGTAACTAGCAAATGGCAAAATCCGCCTACCTGAGCTTCGGCACACGGCTGCATAAACTGAGACGATTTTGTGTGGGAACGCTAAAATTATGTTTTCCTCGACCCTTAGTCTGATGAAAATATTATTCTATTCATACAAATGATATTACCTGATTCAGCCCGCAAAGTTTCAAAATATGTTTGAAAACTATGCGTGTTTATTTAGAATCGTTTCGTGCATATCGATCGGTGCGTATGTGTATAGTTTGAAACATGCCCTTTATTTTACGAAGACAAATGATTCATATCGTTCACGATATGTCAAATGTCATTATCACGTTATACCACGATCCATTTCTTTAGAAAATGACTAAGCTAGTGAGTCTTAAAAACTACAACTTCTGATAGATGAAAGGACCTTTAATGTAACTTGCCTGATTGAAAAGACAAATCAATGTTGATATATTTAAAAAAAATTCTTTTTGTATTTAATGAGGAGTGAAGCTAAACCCAGTGGCAGCCCAAACAAATTGGGCAACTCAAGAAATCGTAATTTAAATTAGCAAGGAAGTTATCGTTACCTAGATGAGACGGGAGAGTTCCTGGAGGCAAATTGATCGAGCGTAGGAATCGTGTCATGAAAAGTCACTTTTGGCGACAAATGCACAATATTTTATTTGAGACAACTTAGTGTCAATTTGTCCGTTTGATATACAAATTTAATAATTTACTATAACTAGAATATATACTTATTATTTTTCTGTTCGGGAGTTGATAGAAAGTTTGTATTCTCTTTATTGACCGACAGTACAAGGTGAAGGGAATAGGATATTTCGCGGCATTTAGTACTATGGGGGAAAGCGATGAAATTCACTATTTTATTCGGAAATTTGGTTACATAAATGATTTCGGTAGTTAAGTGAAGGACATGGATAGAAAAATTGAACTTAGGTTTGCGAATATTATCTTTACATGCTTTGAAATTGGAAATGGTACCGAAGAGTACCGGAAAGTATTTTCGAATTCTTCCAGATTGGTGTTGCAGAAACAGTGAAACAGTCAAGGCTAAATACCGTGTACTTTCTAAGCGATCTTAATTAAAAGTTATCGCTTACTTGTCATTCTTCAACAACGATATTGAACAACCACATCATTGTCCAAGCCTTTCAAATGAGGTGGAACAGTTGGAGACAGCTGCGAGCAGACCTCTTGAAGAAAAGAACCGGAAAGGACGCTGGAGTTAATTTGAGCGCGTCGTTGCCAGCAGGGGGAGCGGCAGTGGCGCAGCATGACGGCCCACGAGAAGCGGCCGTACTACCAGCTGGCGGCGCGCGCGCGCAACTACTACAGCCTGCGCCGGCGGCGCAAGGCCACGTGCGTGGAGTGCGGCTCGCCCTTGTGGGCGTGGCCGTTCCGGAGCACGCTGGCGCGGGCGGGGAAGACGTTGTGGCGGCGCAAGAAGCCGTCTCGCAACCGCCGCCCCC